AAGGAGTTTGTTAAAACAACATTGATTGATTAGATGAATGAATGAAAGAAAGAGCCAAAAGGAAAAAGAAATGAAAGAAAAGAATAAATAAAAACATCCAGAATGAAATGATGAAAAGAGGAAAAGAATAATTTAATAAATGAAGAAAAAGAAGTAAAAATCAAAGCAGGCGTGAATGAAGAAATGAATAAATAATTAAAATAAAATAAAACGTATAAATGAAAGAAAAATTAATGAAAAGAAGAAATGAGTGAAAAGAAGAAAAAACGAAAGAAATAAATGAAAAAGAATGAAAAATGCATGATTAAAAAATAAATGATTGGAAAAAGAATAAAAGAAAGGAAAAATGCAAAAAAGAATGAAGAAAAGAAGAAATAATGCAAAGAAAGGATAAATGAATGAAGATAGCAATGAATGAAAAGAATGAAAGAAAGGAAGAAAAATATATGAAAGAACAAAGCATGAATGACAAGAAAGTATAAATGAATGAAAAGAAGAATAAAAAAAGATGGATGAAAAATGAATGCACGAATGAAAAATGAATGAATGAAAAGAAAAATAAATTAGTGAATAAACGAGAAAATAATTAAAAATAAAATGAAGAAATGAAAGGAAAAAGTGTGAGAATAGAAGAAAACATAACTGAAATGTAAAAGAAAAAAAATGAATGAATGAATGAATGAAAGAAAGAAATTTTGAATGAATTACGAGGAGAAAGAAATTAAGAAGAAAGAGAAGATGAATTAAAAGAAGAATGAAAACCAAATGAAAGAAAGAACAAAATATATTCGTTTTTTTTTCTCTCTCTTTCAAAATACGTATCTATTCCAAAGTCGAACTGTTATTCAGGTTTTTGACAAATTGGGTGTGAATTTCGCGAAGTCAAATGTTGACATTTTAAAATTATGGAGTTGCGAAGGTAGCGCCCCCTACTGGAGTTGACTGTCGAAAGAAATGGCTGCTTGCTTCACTACGACTCGTAAAGTGAGTTAAGTGAAGCGTATTAGGTTTTTATTTTTATTTTTTCTCGACCCAAGTGTCAGTGAATATCGAATGGAAAACCTGGAGACTGAAACAGCAACTCAACGAATAGAAAATTAAAATAAATAAACAGTATCTTCACTGTTGGCATTCTGCAAGACACACCAACTGCGTTGGGTGTCATCATGACGTATGTCTGAGCTATTTTATTCAGATATTTATTTTAAAAATACGTAATTAAATTTCTAAGTGATCTACTATCTGTGAAATGCGAGTTGAGGATTTATATTAAGTTGAGTCATAAGTAATTCCCTCTTTCAGGGAACCAATTTTAATGATGAATGTGCCACCATAATTAACAATACGTATCAGTTAAAGATAAATTTGGAGTACACTATCAGACCTTAGTATTTGCATGGTAATAGCAGCGTACACAGCGGATAAACATATTGTTGTTCTCCATGACAATGAAATGTAGCATACAGCATGATTAACACAGGGAAAAGAATTGAAGCTCTGTTCTACCCCATCCACCGTGTTAACCTGACCCCACTGGGCCGACCGGTTATAATCTTTTATGATCGCTGTGAAACGCTTTGATATGGAAAATTTTCTCTCCTGAAAAGCAGATTGAAGAGTTTGTCGAAACCTCGTCCACATCAAAACTGCAGAATTTTACTCAAAAGAGCTGCATAATAAGTGGCAAGGATTCATTGCAAATAATCATGAAGATAGAATGGAATAAAATGTAATTGTTATTTTTTTTAAGAATAAAGATGATAAACATAAACAGAAAATATTTGGTTGTGATGCATGTGCGCTGTATACATTTCAGACTGTGCCATGATGGATACATTGGGTTTCATATATTTATACTTTAATGTCGCAGTATTAATTCCTTCCACCCACTTGGATGAGATGTGACACAAGGTCTATTTTTAGGTGGGGACCCGAGCGCGTACGCCCGGGACAAGCACAAAAATTGCCCTCAGCCTCCGCAACCGTCGGTTGCGCTGGCCTCGGTGCGAGCACCGATCCCTCCCTCTGGCGCAATGGGAGGGCACGGCCTCGGGCAGCTGTTCCCCAGGGCTGGGCACCTCTCAGTATTATTTTCTCAGTTGCCCCTCTGTCCTATGACAGAGAAGCTCCTGATCGCACTCTGCCCAACGCAACGGAGAGATGATAAGCCTTGCGTTAAAATCCCTCCAAAGAGGAATTTATACGCTTTTTTTTTTAATTTATACTCTAACGTCGCTTAATAATAATAATAATAATAATAATAATAAATTGTACTGACAAGTATAGCTCACATCTTATGAAGAGCGTTATCTATGTAAATTGTGTGTGATCATAGTTTTTTTTATTTGCTTTTTGAGTTTTCCAAAAGAAAAAAATGCTCGCTGGAAAATGTCATGATGCCATTTCTCACCTTAGATCTCTGGTTGGGACCCAGAAAGTAATCAGTATACATCAGAAATCAAATGAAATAGAATAATAATAATAATAATAATAATAATAATAAGAAGAAGAAGAAGAAGAAGAAGAAGATGAACAACAACAAAAACAAGAAGTAAGGAATTAATAATTAATTAATAATAAGAAGAATTAATGAAGGAGACGGAATACAAGATTCAATTATAAAGAAAAAGATCCAAAAAGAATGTTATAAGAGAGTGTGTTTGATACTAAAAATCAGACTTAATGGGGCCAATAAAATGAATCTTAGCTATACCCGTAGTAACACACAGCGTTAACATTATTAAATGGAAGTTGAATGACGTTAAAAGATTGGCCGCCAAGACCAGAAAATGCTTACCCAAATGAGGATGTGCTACTCGAAATCCGATGTTGATAGACTGTATACACCAAGAGCTTTAGGAAGCCGAGGTCTAATTTAACTTGAACTCTAAAAACTACAACAATCGGTTTGGAAGCCTACCTCACAAAAACCAATGACCCTGTCCTATAAATAGTAAAACACCAAATCTATTCCATCAACAGAGAAGCTACACTCTTCAAGAAACAGCTTAATATACTTGAAATTCTACCAACAAAAACGAAGCGAATTCGCCAAACGAGTAAAACAGAAAGCAAAACAACTTGGCCAAATGAAGTGACAAAAAATCTGCGAGGAGAAGGCGTTGCATGGCAAATGCATAAAAAGAACGAAAGGAGCAAATGTGGACCAACAGAAAACACATCGGTGGCTGACAGAAGGTCTAATTATTGCAGCTCAGGACCTCGCAACCAGATCCTTTCCCGGTCACATAATCAAGGATGGAACTAAACCAAAATGCGGGATCTGCAAAAAATATAACGAAACTGTCGACCATATCATCACAACATGTCAGAAACTATCAAAAAAATGAATATACCCACAGACATAACAAGGTAGTTACATATGTGCATAAGAAGATATGTAAGAAGCACAAAATCGAAACCACTGAGAGATGGTATGAGCACCAATCAGAAACAGTTACCCAAAATAACGATGTAACTATCCTCTGGGACATGCTAAGTCAAACTGACAGGGAAATAAAAGCCAACAAACCTGATATTATCATAAAAGACAAGAAATTCAGGAAGTACATGCTTATTGACATAACAGTGCCATCTGAGAGAAACACCTCCATGAAAATTATCGAGAAATTGTCCAAATACAAGGACCTGGAGATCGAGATTAACAGGATGTAGGGAATGAAGACTGAGACTGTCGTACCAATAGTAATCGGGTCCCAGGGCCTCATGAGAAAAGGAATGGACAATTTCACTAACAGTATCCCAGATAACATCAACATACAAGTTACAAGAAGATCGCTCTACTAAGAACATCCCATATACTAAGAAAAGTGCTATCAATTAAATGACAATTCTCCTATAGGGCCTAAGGACCATAGATTGGACCCGGCTCTAAAGAATACAAAGGAAATATAACACACAAATAATAATAATTGTAACAGAAAACTATGAAAGTAATATTCTTTGGGACAAACCAATCGAAACTGATAAACAAATTAAGGGCAGCAGACCTGATATGATAAAAATGGACAAGAAGGAAACAACTTGTCTGCTCATCGGTATGTCTGTCTGCATTGAAATAAACACCTCGCCGAAAATGACAGAAAAAACATTCCAAATGTAAAGATCTAGAGATAGAAATTAATAGAATGCGAGACATAAAGACCAGAGTAATCCCAGTGATAATAGAAGCACCCGGATTGGCCAAGAAAGTGAGAAAAATACGCCAACGAAATCCTTGACAAAATCAAAATAAAATAAGTCCAGATCTCATTATATTAAGGATGACTCTATCAAATACATCCATCATACCATCATGGTAGCCTCATGTCCAAAGGATGGATTCAAAAAGTCTTATCAACAACGACGACAACAACAACAGAAAGAAGAAGAAGAACAACAACAGCAATAATAATAATAATAATGATAATAATCATAATGATAATGATGATAATAATAATAATAATAATAATAATAATGCTAATAATAATAATAATGATAATAATAATAATAACGATAATAATAATAATAATAATGTTATTAATAATAATAATAATGATATTATTAATAATAATAATAATATGTACGAAAGAAGAAATAAAAAATATAACGTTAATATAGAAAGAGTGAAAGAGAGTGGAAAAGAGAAATTTTGATTTGGATATGTCTACCTTCCGGTCTCTTATGCCCATTTCGAAACGAAGAATTCGCTCCTTCAACTGGAGCTCATCGTCTTATTCGCTTCATCATCTTTCTGATCAGCGTTCGTTCCACTAATATGGCTAATTATACCGCCCATGGAACAAGCACTTCGCTTCTCCTGCGCCGCAAATCAACGCTCATTGGTGCTTTCTAAGTAGCTTCAAGAGAGACAGCAGTTACACTCGCCCACCCAAGAATTAAAAAATAAATAAATAAATAAGAAGGAGAGAAAAAAAAAAAGGAGAATAGAAATTAATTAATGTCCTAAGAATTTAATGATAAAAAGAAATTGAAAAAAAAAAATGAAAAAAAATCATAAAAACCCGAGACGAATGTGATAAAATAAATCTTATAAAATGTTCAAAATTAATATTACTAAAATGTTCTTTAATTAATGCTTAAAAGAATCGTTATATATAAAACACATATAAAACACAGTATATAAAACGCAGTATATATTCTCACGCACACTACAGTCAAAATATTTGAGGTCACCTCTGATATATTTTTTTAAAATGGTTCAAAAAGTAGTGGCTTTGTACTTTAAATAAGACGAAATTGTTGTACATGGTTTTAAAAAGTGAGATATGATTTTTTATTAGAAATTTTATTATGACAAAAAGAAAAAAAAAATTTATGATTAAATTTTGCTCTCGTCAAAATATCCTCTTTTAGCAGCACACAAATTTTTGGCATTCGTTTCTCAAAGTATAAGTTTGGTAATAGATTACATTCTTTTTTCAATGACTCTAAGAGATCTTTTTCATTTTTTTTTTTTTACTCTTCTGTCAAGTTCATCCCATATTAATTCTGGAGGTGGCTTCGAAATTTTGAATATCGATAAACATAAAAGGACAATTCATCTTAGCCGAAGGGTTTTTTCAGGTGACAAAAATTCGTAAATTCTTATGTGAAAATAATAAATGTCACATGTTAATTGAATCTGTCTGAGATCCTTATCGTGATTGTTTTTCGCAAAGTTATTGTCACATAAGAATTTACTAAGATTTATGATCGTGTCTTTCCCAGAAATTCATAATTTTAAAAAAAAAAAATTTAAAAAAAATTAAAAAAACGAAGCGAAATTATTAAAAAAGTGAAAATCAATTCAAATTCAGAATGGTGCAACGAAACGAAACAAACTCTGTTACAAACCGAGTGTTTATAAGGGAATTAAATTTCCACTGACCTGCAGTAGATGTGATCCAAGCTCCTTTTCTAAGGCGGTTTTAGGGGTCGACCTATGACCCCAAGCATCTCCAAGACCTGCAAGACAAAAATTAGAAAACTCCAGGTAAAGAACGTCTCCCGTTTATTTTTACATTAATTGTAATTAAGTTTCAGGCTATCACAGTATATTTATTCAAAATATGTATATTTATTAAAAAGACATGAACCGTTATTCAAAACATGTTTACTTGCGTTCAAAATACAGGTATACGTATTGATTGAAAAAGAATTACCCTTAATCAAAACATGTACTTTTATTCAAAACATATGTACTTTTATTCAAAACATATGTACGTTTATTCAAAACATATGTACCTTTATTCAAAATATATGTACTTTTATTCAAAACATATACTTTTATTCAAAACCTATGTACTTTTATTCAAAATATAAGCATTTCTATTCACAGTATATTAATCTTTATTCAAAAATGAAACTTTAGTCAAAATACAGGTATATATTGGAAGAAATGTGGACCGTTAGACAAATTCAAAATATATGAACCTTCAGTGAAAATATACTGGGTGCTTGGGGCAAATTGTCGCCATTTCATATTTTTAATTTCGCGCATGCGCGTTGTTCATTTTTGATTTTGTCGACGTCAGAGTATACTGGGCTTAATTAAGCGTCGTCTGTAAGAAAAAGGGCACCATGACGCAATTCACTCCGCCAAAAATTTGGAAACGGTATGCTTTACTGCTTGGCATTCGCCCCGGAAGCTCCAATACGAACATTCCTGAGTGTTTGGGTGTCAATCTTAAGATAGTGCAGAGGATTCGAAAAGAGTTGGATGAGTCTAAAGGTGATTACGAGGCTCGGAAAACATCATTCTAGAGTCTCGAATTTGTTGGTGAAGGCCTCAGACTCAACACAAGGCTGACATTGAGGAGGTAATGCTGCTCTGGGTCAAGAGAGTGGCTGCTGAAAGAATCCCTATGTCTGACAACAGGACTCTGCACCAGGCATCACAAGCAGGAGAACCCAATCATGCCTGTCAGACAATTTCTGCGACAACATCACCCCTTACATCTGGCAACCTATCTCCCCAGGCTGCAATTCCCTTGATTATTGTGTGCAGTGCAGTTGAGTGGGAGACTCAAAAAAAACTCCTTGTAATACCAAAGATGAACTGAAGGCAAGGATTATGGCAGCATTCACCAACAGACCGTCCAGAAGAGTTGCAAGAGATTTCGAAGTCGTCTGAAGGCCGAATCTCTGTTAAAAACAGAAATACCTTGATTTAAATTCTTATTACTTTTATTCCAAATAATTATTAGCACCTTTAGTCAAAAGATAGGTTACTTAATAGAATATAAAACTTACTTTATTTAATAGTAAAACAGGTTATTTCATGATTAGAAATTTTACAAATCATTTTGTTTAATTAATTTGCTTTTATTTTAGCAAACATGATTTCGTCACCAGTCAACCCGAAATATATATTTCTGTTATCTAAATATGTAAATTTATATTTTCTAAAGAAAAAAGGATTTTTTATTTATTAATCCGACAGATTTTTTGTTAATTAAACGTTATTTTTAGTGGATACTCGTATTTGAGTAGACGTTTGCCTTATTTATTAAACACTATATTTATTTATTTTCGTCTACCGGCTTTAATATTCGAGAAATCTTATTAAAGGAAAATATGCGATGTTCGGCAGGATTCGAACCTGCGTCTCCCTCGGCAGAGAGAAAACGTTTTTAGATCCCATGCGCCTAAGACATACGCTCTCTGGAGAGCGCACATTCAATATTATGGATAAAAAATAATGAGTTTTATATCATGTTTATTTTTTTTTTTTTTTTTCGAAACTTAGCATGAGCAAAATAAGTTAACGGATTTAATAATAGTTGTTAGTTTAATTTGTAACATGTAGGTTGAAAAAAAATACAAATGTTGTTTAGACAGCGAGGGGTTCTAATTAGTCTTGCCTACCATCAGTCGGAGGTTACGAGAGTCGTAAACCCCGGCCCTGTACGTCACAAGAAAATATAGTTTTAGTAAATGTTTATTTATCCATCGAAATTCTTACACTATTTACATTGTTCGGACTATCGTCTTCATTTTTCTTGCCATATTTATCACGGCGTTTCGGCTGTTGTACGCTCCGGCCTTCTTCAGGTGTTTGGAATGTCGAACTGAACCCTTTATTTCGCTCACTGGGGGAGACTGTTCGTTCCATGTGCCATGTCTAATGGATGTTAATTCCCCTTTACATTTTCTCCACCGCCTTACCCAGGTATTGAACTCACAATCATTGTGTCCTTTCACTGGATCTAACTAACGCCTTTATCCACTGTGCCATGTGTCCTCAAGGAAACGTTGCAACAAATATGGCAACAAAGATGAGGACAATAGTCCGAATAATGTAAATAGTGTAAATAATATCTCATCTCAGAAATATAGACAGATAATGAACGAAATTCATTTTATCCAATGAAATTCTTTTTTAAATTTAGTGTAATTGTTTTTCTAAACAAATTTTATTAAGACGGACAGATATTCTGTTGAATTTATTTAACGTCTTTTTTAAATTACGAATCACTTTTCGCAAAATTGGTTGTTGCAGATATAAAAAAATCGAATATATCATGCCCGAGCGTTTATAAGGTTATGTCATCTTCAGGAGTGTGAAATACTGAAGTGGGGGAAGAAAATTTCTTTTTAATTGGACCATTTTCAGCCAATAATTATTTTGACAAGTATTTTATTTTACTTGCTTTTTATTACAACTTTCGTTCTATGACAGCGAACTAACATAGCTGATAGGAAAATAATATAGGATAAATTCCCATCAATTCCCGGACTTTTGTCATCTTTGCCGTGGGGTTGGGGGGAGAGCGTGAGGAACAATTTTACTGCTCTATTTGAGCCACTGGAAACTTAAAGATTAAAAAAAGTTAAAACTCAACTTTATATATATATATATATATATATATATATATATATATATATATATATATATATAACATTATTCAAGTACTTTGAGAAGATAAGTCCAATTTGTTTTTGTATAGGGATATTCCAAATAACCATGTGGTACGCCAGGAAACTTTCTGAGTGATGTTTATTCTTGGTAACATTTGGCGTTTCAGTCTTCTAAAACATCACATTCCATCTCTCTCAGGTAATCAAGCCAGAAGCGATCACATTATAGTCACCTTTCCAGCTTCAGAAATGTGTCCACACAGCTCGGGCCGAATCATTTATTGGTTATTTCATTGAAAATCAAAACGATGATTCGTTTTGATTTTCAGCCAAGGAAAATTGGTTTTACAATTTCTACAGTGTCCGTTTGCCAATTTAATATCGTTGGCTTTCAGCTCCATTTGCTTTCGCCAATTCTCTCAAACTTTTTATTATATTACCACAAATCTCGAAAATCATTTTTTTTCAAATTAATCTGTTCTTTTTCACCTTTAGCCGAATTTTTAGCACTAACAGAGAAAATCTTTTGCATGTAAAGTGGTTGAAAATACAAAGGAAATAGTTGTGGTAGCCCCAGCCTCAAAAAGAAAAGAAACTCACAAAATTCTCAATATATATATATATATATATATATATATATATATATATATATATATATATATATATATATTGCAGATTTTCTATCAAGATAGCTAAAACATATTTGCAGAATTTAGTGTTTACTCATCAAAAATTTTGTCGCGGAGAGAGAATAAACGGAAAGCGATGTGAAAGCTGAATAGATGATTCGTAAACGAGGGATGCAAAAGACTGATGCGATATGAGAACCTGGAGAGAAAGTGAGTGAGAAAGAAGAGCGAAAAAGAGTGAAAGAGGGAAAAGGCAAAGAAGAGATAAAGAAAATGAAAGAAAGTATCAAAGAAAGGGAGAGAGAGAAAGAGAGAGAGAGAGAGAGAGAAAGAGAAGAATAGAAAAAGAGAGAAGGTAGATATATGCTGAGAGACAGAGAAAGAGAGATAGAAAGAGAGTGATAGGGAAACATAGTTACAAAAACAGAGAGAGAGAGAGAGAGAGAGAGAGAGAGAGAGAAAATAGAGAGTGGGTTACAGAGGGGAAAAAGAGAACGTGTCAAGCTCATCACTCAATTCAATCAAGTCATTAAAAATCGCTTGGCTTGGTTTTTTCCCTTTACATAAACAAGAGACATAAAAAAGACCCAACACGCGCCTGCCCCACACACGTATATGCACACGCACACACGCACGCACACACACACACACACACACACACACACACACACACACATATATATATATATATATATATATATATATATATATATATATATATATATATATCCAATAAAGGAAAAACGAAACGGACAGATTAATTTTTTAAAAACGATCTACCGTTCTTTAGCATTTAAATTTTTAAAAAATACGATCGATATATTTTAATAATAAAGAAATATATTTTATATTGAGCAAATCATATAAAACTTTTAATAATATTTTTATTAGAAATATATTTTTATATGTTCCAATAACTTGGACCAATTTTCAATGTGAATTAAGTTTAAGTGTCTAATGACTTTTTTTTCTTTCAGATTTAAAGCGAACAAAATTATTGCCATGTTTTTTTCACCAATAAGACTGATTTATTTACTGCTGACTTTTGATCCGTCTTAATGAAACACCAAACTATATATATATATATATATATAAGAAACGACTGTATATAGCTGATTTTTTAGTTTTATTATTTCTGGTAATTCATATCAAAGTCTAAATCTGATAAGGCTATTTAAGGACATGACTAGAGTTAAACACCATCTGGTATGATCAGGGCTGATGACGTCATTATTTACTTCTTCTAGCTACATGTGATATCCATTTTAATTGTTCCTGGTGTTAGAAGTGTTCAGGTAATGTGGTTTCTGTTATTTGGTAAATTTAATTTATATATATATATATATATATATTATGATGAAAAGAATTACTTTATATTATAAAGGGGAGGCACGTGGAGTCCAAGGAATTGAGAGCTTGGACCAATTTTCAATGGGAATTAATCTCTTTCTTCCCCTCCAGTTTAAATAACAGGACAGAATGGGTCTAATGACTTTTTTTTCTTTGGACAGATTTAGCAACTCCTGAACATTTGGTTATCCTCTCCTTGGATCCTGCTAGCAAGAGGGGGAACTAGACGTCTGATAGTTGTTTTATCCCGCCCACGCATAATTGAGACCATCCTGACGACGACGATATTCATGCATCTAGACGCACATACATATGCCACACACAATTTCATATACACGTGCTTTGGGAGATTCACAAGGATTTCAGTTTTATAGCATCCATTAACATGAGGAAATCATTGACTGGACGGTTGAAATTTATATGAGATTTCCAAAAATAGAAGTCGAAAATATTAAATTTGTCTTGTGAGTATCATTTTCCACCAATGATGTGCCCTAGTCTTTTCCTGATAAGTTTAGTTTTCCTTTTCATTTTCCTTTTGTTTCCTTTTCTCCCAAAACTTCGTCGTTCCATGTATCCTCAATCCTTCTGTAAATATTTAAATCGCTTCAAGTCTCGTCCTCATCTTTGAGGAGATTTGTCTAGTACTACTGTTACATTTTTTGTATATATATATATATATATATATATATATATATATAACTAGTGAGTTAGTCAAAATGACTTAACTCCCTTTATAGTCTACCAATAGAAGATTAACCAATCAGAAGCCGCAGAACATTGTATCCGTCGTGTATAAAGTCGGCCATTTTTTGTTTATCCTACCTGAATGACCAGTGCCAACTTGTCAGGCGAAGATGACAGAAGGAAGAACTACGCTCTTTACTTTGCGATATCCACTGCTAACCTGAACTACGCTTTCCTACTGTCACCGAAATATTCACTGCTAACCTCTGGATTCTATACTCGAAGACGACCGTCAAAATGTCTAACACTCACTGCCATACAGGAGGACAAATATCATATAACAGTACTCTTTTCCTTGTTTCTAGCGACATTTTCCTATTTTTCAGTACTCTGCTTGGCACTTCGAAGGCATCTTTGGCCATCCCAATACGCCTTCGGATTTCAGTGTCACCCTTTCCGTACTCTGTTAAAACATTTCCAGGATATTCAAATTTCGACACTTATTTAATTTTGGCATCCCCGATTTGCAATTCGCACTTTGGGCTCATTTTGCTAGCAACCATACATCATCTGCTGCGAGCAATAGTTAAACAATAATCCACTCAAACCCTTGGTCTCGAATTAGTTATCGACGAACATCTGTCTATATTTCTGAGATGAGGTATTATGTACATTTACTTATTCGAACTATTGTCCTAATCTTTGTGCGTCCTGGGTATGACGATAAACCTACATCCGAAGACGATAAACTACGTCCAACAGGGTTTTGTGGAGCGTGGAACCACCTGGTCTATGACCCGGGGTGGTATCACCTGTTAGGGTCCTATTTAGTTAACACTCAGATTACATTTGCGTCCTGGGCATGACGATGTCGAACATCCGTTTTTTGAAAAATAATGTTGCCAGCTGTACGTTTTTGAAAAAAAATATTAGCAGCTATATACTTTTTGGAAAAATTATAAAGAAATGTATTTTTGACAAAACAAAATTATTACCAGGAAAAAAAAAAAAATTGCAGCATTGAGGTTGATATCACTTGTTGCTGTTGCCCAATGTTGTCAAGTGACGAGGTTTCAGTTATTTGGTAGAAACCTTTGTTTTTGATTCTGTACTTCGAAGAAAGATGTCACTCTCTCTGACTTCGTTCCCTGATAGCCATTTTAAATCATTGATCGATTATATACATCTGATAATTCTGAACAAGTTTGGCGCCATCCATGACATCCATATGAAAGTCTCGACCTGACGATAATTTAAGAAGCTATTGTTTAGGCTAATGTTTTGGTTTTGTATATTGAGCGAAACTATTCCCATGGTTCAATTTCTTTTTAACAATATAATTGATCTATACACGGAGGTATTTGAGGTATTTAGTAAACTAAGGTCTGCTCATTAGTTGCAGTATAAACTACAGGTGGCTCTGTGTGTTGAATAAATAAAATGTGCCCGAGCGAAAGCGTCAGCAATAGGGGATTTAGCTGTCCTAGTAGACGGGTATTCTCGAATAACATATATATATATATATATATATATATATATATATATATATATATATATATATATATGTCCAGATTATATATATATATATATATATATATATGGCGAGCTATTTTATATATATATATATATATATATATATATATATATATATATATATTATATATATATATATATATATATATATATATATATATAGAGAGAGAGAGAGAGAGATAGAGATGACCTGATCTATATATATATATATATATATATATATATATATATATGCCTAAAGCATTATATCTATCTATCTATCTATCTATCTATGCTTTCTATCTATATATATATATATATATATTGAGTATATATATATATATATATATATATATATATATATATATATATATATATATATATATATATATGCACAAATCTAAAAAGATTAGAAACAAAATTGCGAAAGAAAAGACGCCTATGCTTAACTCTTCAATGAAATTCAAGAAAATCATTATCTTCAGAAAGACATGTTTGTGCGTTTCTGTAATCACAGCATTTGATAATAAGAAATTGTAGCAAGTCTAAGAAACCGGAAACAGATTTACAAGGAAAAAATTAAATTGAATTAAAATAATCGCTTCCTCTTTTTAATGAATAAAACGAAAGAAACCATAATAAAACCCACCTAACTATGATAAAAGAATTAAAAAAAAAAGATGTCGTTAAAAAAAGAAAAGAAAAAGTAAAAACAATTTTGTTTTGCGTGTCAAGGTCTAACATTTCTCTGAAAGTAGTTCCGAATTAGCGTCAAGTGAAAATAAACTAAAGTGGGAGGTTCGGCCGTTTTCTCTGCGGATCATGCCTCATCGCTTGTTCATCAGCAAAAGAGATCACTCCGCCAATCTAAACGAATCATGTTTGCTATTTTCGACCTGTCTGCTTTCATTTACGCGTCATTAAACCCGGAGGGATAATTTTGTTTCGTCTGATATTCTTTCGTCTTTGTTCCTGACTAGGTCTTGAGGAATGTGGGTAAAGAGTACGGATGATGCGACTGGGAAGGCAAGAGAGAGAGAAGAGCTTGTATCGTTGCGATTGAAGAACAAGTCCTTGTAATTCCTTACAATCATCGACCGAATAAGTAGCCTCGGAAAATCGTGTAAGATTTTTGACCCTGGATTAACTTTCTTGTCTGTGGTGTTTCTCTAATTTTATTTAAAACCCTAAACTTCTGATTAAAGTAATTGCTATAAGAAATGAAAGAAAAGAGAACGAAAAAAAGAGAATGAAAAGGGAAAATGAAGGAGAGAAAAAATAAAAATAAACTATAGATAAAGGAGAAAAAAAAACAAGGAAATTAGAAAGGCAGCAAATCTATAGAGAAAAGCAATGAGAAGGTAAGTAAAGAGATAGATAGATAGATAGATAGATAGAGAGAGAGATAGATAGATAGATAGAGAGAGAGAGAGAGAGAGAGAGAGATAGATAGAGAGAGAGAGAGACGTTAAATAGAAAAAAAGAAAAAAGAGTGTAAAAAGCATGGATAGAGAAGAGTAAATTAGAAGTGAGATCAAAGGGAGGGTAGAGGGGAGAGAGAGAGAGAGAGAGAGAGAGTCTGGTAAGACAGAGTGGGAAGACAGTCAGAAAAAGAGAGATGATATATTAAAGAAAAGAGAAAGATCGAAGGAAATAGAGAGAAGAGAGAGATGATTTTGCAAGTACATGAATGCACCGGCGAATCATATTGCGTTAATCTAAAATAATAACCAAAGAAGAACATAAAATAATTATAACCAGACAACGTAAGATAAACATGTATGTAAGAAAACGAAGTGAAATGGGCATAGCTGCGCAAAGGACACCTGAAAAGAGGAAAAATATCAAGAGTAATAGCAACATCTATACAAAAACGAAAATAAAAGTTAAAAGATAAACGACGCCAATGAAGACAGGGATAAAATGATAATTATATATTAGGCGAATATATCTGTAAACT